GTGACTTGAGGCACTGTCAGGTTTGGGAACTGGCTGGAAAAGGGTTTGGAAGTTTCACTGAAATTCAGGTCATCCATTTCTCAGTGGTGTTCTCTTAACAAGTTGCTTTACCTTTCTCAGACTCGGTGGCAACTAGGAAATGGGGAGAATGACACCGGCCTCGCAGGACTGCTGTGAAAGCCAGAGATCATACACCTCATATGCTGGCACACAGCAGACACTCAGTAAATGCTATCTATAACTATTACTACTGTAAAAGAGGATAGGGCTGGGTGTGGTGGTTCACACCTGTAATCCTAGCACTTTGAGAGACCAAGGCAGGCGGATCACCTGAGGTCAGGAGTTTGAGATCAGCCTGACCAACATGGCGAAACGCTGTCTCTACTAAAAATACAAAAATTAGCCAGGCTTGGTGGCACACACCTGTAATCCCAGCTACTCGGGAGACTGAGGCAGGAAAATCACTTGAACCTGGGAGGGAGAGTTTGCAGTGAGCCGAGATTGCACCACCAGACTCCAGCCTGGGTGACAGAGTGAGACTCTGCCTCAAACAAACAAAAAAGAGGATGGTTGCCAAAAAGCCATACCTCTACCCTCCCTGTAGCCATGGAAACTGCCTCTTGTTGAATAAGAGCATCCCTCCTCATTCTCCAGTCCCAGATTTGCCTTTGAGTCTCTGGTATAAACTCTGGTGTAGGGACCAGTTAGTTCCTCATGAGGACCACATGTGCTGGCTATTCCAACACACCTGTTCCCCACTTGCAACCTCAGATCCATTGTATCTGTTCTGGTGACTAACCTCTGTGGGCTGCTTCCCCAGGGCTTCACGCCCTTTGGCATCAGGCTAGGATCTGCCAGTTGGAAACACCAGCACCAGATCTGGGAATTTATTCTTCCCTATCTCCCTGCTTGGTCAAATCTCTACAGTGGCTTTGTCCTTTCTGTCACCATAGCTCCTGTTGGGCAGCCCCTCTTCTATGATTTCAGCACTTGCTTCCTCTGTAGGTGGTCTCTTCATTAAGCTCTCTCCAGATAAACATTTTTAGGGCACCATCTGCTTCCTGCCAGGACCCTAACCAAAACAGGGGAGGTTTTCTTGATGCAAACTATAACACTGTTACAATGACTTTAGAACAACGAGATGTTAAAAATAATGATAAGCTGTGGAGGCAGACTAATAATGTCTAGTTCAGGCTAGGGCTCTGATTTTCATTACTTGAACCTCCAAGAATTAAAGCAACTTTCATCTAATAAGAAAGTCGGGAAGACAAGAAAAAACAGCCTGAGCCTAGAGATCTTGTCTTTTCCTTCAGTGAGGGGCCCGTTTTGCAACTCTCCAAAGCAACAAGAACCTTGCAGCAGGAAAGAGAACTCGTTTCATCCCTGATGGACACCTACTCTATGTCAAACATCATGTAAGCTATTCTATATAAACCGTCTCATTTGGAGCTGATAACAACTTGGTGAGGTATACCCATTTTTCAGAAGAGGAAATAGAGTCATAAAGATAGTAAGGACGCTGTTCGAGGTCACACAGCTGGTCAGTGCAGAATCAGGGTTTGAACCTGAGAAGTCTGGCTCTGGAATCTGGGTAGCCTGAACCAATGCTTAGGTGCCTCCTCCCTGGAAAAGGGGCCGAGAGCAATGAGAAGTGAAGCAGGGAGGCAAGCTCAGCCTCTCTTCCTAACAGCCTCAGCCGCTGAAGGTGTGCTCGCATCCATGAGATGCCCCCACTGGGGAAATGGGGCTGTGGGGGCATATTTCAGCCACCGACCAGGATCATCAGCCACAGAGACAAACCAGAAGTGAAGGAGTGTCTGTGAAAACAAAACTATAAAGAACCACAGCTTCTGAAGACAAAGCGGGTCCACGATAAACTAGGATTCTCTGCAACATTATCCAGTACCAAACTAAATCCTGCCTGAACCCCTCAGTCTGCAAGACAGATCCGTCTTTATACTTGTAAAATTCAATGGCACATAGCATGAGGGCAAACATCCAAAGCTTAAAAATGACCTAGAAACTCTGCACAACATTGAGAAGGAAGAACAAATGTTGTCAACACACTGGGTAATTTCATCCACAGAGAAACGAGCAGTAACTTCATCACTTTCAGAAGAAACCAATCTCTTGGGCCAAATAACCAAAACACCAAGAACGTCTTTCCAACGCCAAGAATCTTTCCAATGCCATTTCCAAACTGTGCCTGTAATTCAGCACTTGTTAACAGACCCATATTCCACCTGCAAAGAATGCCAGCATTCCATCTTATGCCTACTAGAAAGTTTAATAAATGAGGTATAGTGCATTGCCGATTGACATATCACTCAACCAAGGCACAACAGAATAAACACTTAACTGCAAAATGATTTGTAGTCTGGATACAGTGGCTGAGTCTTGATTCTCATTCTGTTTCACGTAACATTTGCTTTTTTCTGCTTAAATCTACCTCCCTCTTATTGAAAACGCAAGATGCGTGGGTAGTAGGAGGAAAGATTCAGCCTTGTGCATATTTACACATAGTTCAGTAATCCCAGGAGAAAATAAATTGACAGAGAATGGTATTTATACCAAACAGTCAGAAAACAACATATTAAGATACACTGTCAAATGGTTACCCAGTATGAACGATCTGCCAACCAAGGATCCAATTTGTGTATATATCTTCCCCGATGCAATTTCTAGCCACTTTGGGTTCTAGTTTTTTGACTGGATAACAACACCTGAATTCATTCTGCAAAGCAAGCCAGCTGCAGCGATTTTTAAAAGGACTTTAAAAGTGGGCTTGGGTACACCAACAGTGATTTGCAAAGTCCTCTGGCTTAGAGTTCCATCTTACCAGTCGAGTCAGCCCCAGAAGCCTGACCACTCGTCTGCTCCTCAGCATTGATGAGCTGCAGGTCTGTATACGAACATCCAAAGCTAGGACTGCTGGTGTCTTCAGAATGGGTGGTCCAGCTGCTCTCAGAAGTCAGAGGGCATCTCCCCAGGGAGTCAAAGGAAGGGCATGTCCAGCAGGGTATGGTCAATGGTAGGGCTGGGGAGAGACCAAAAAATCAAAAGCATACAATATAAATAGTTGTACTTTGTCTCTAGTGCTTATCTTACTTTGACGTTGCTCACATCCTATGAAATCTCAACAGTCACACAAGGCAAGGAAGTCTTGTATGGAGAGTATCACTCATGACACAGACAGAGAAAACTGATTGACTGAGACCCCATGGTGAATCAGTATCAAAACAAGTATGAAAAGTAAGGTCCCAGTTGGGCGCGGTGGCTCACGCCTGTAATCCCAGCACTTTGGGAGGCTGAGGCGGGTGGATCAAGAGGTCAGGAGATCAAGATCATCCTGTCTAACA